TATCTGTTGACGCCATTTTTCCGCATCTTTTAGACTGTTGCAATCAGACGCCAAATAAGGCCGCCGTTCTTTTGGTTTTACTAAACCAAGTTGAATGGCCTGAGCCTCTCGAAAACGATATAGCATAGATCTGTGAAAACAGAAGTTGCATTAATTATGCTAATCTTTCGGCACGGAATTAAGACTTAGTAACAAGAAAAAAAAATACATACTGGGCTTTCTCTTCATTTCGGGCCTAGTAGGTGTAAATTTTCAAATGGTTGTCCTTAAAATTCCTTTAGCATCTAAAATATTCATTTTAAATTTTAATTATAGAGAGTTGGTCCAAAGATGTTGGACTATGAAGGTAAAGAAGTTCCTGGTAACCGAGGTTATAAGTAAGTTAATATTTTTATTTTATTTTTAAATAATCAATAGTTTTAAATTTGGAATGAATTTTTCTTTATTATTTAGATATTTTGGACGCGCAAAAGATCTGCCTGGTGTAAGAGAACTATTTGAGCAAGAAGGTGCGATATATAATAAATTATTATCAAAAATATGGCCAATTATATTTCTCCGCCAATTCTTATTATTGACAACAATAATATAGCTCCTGCACCACAAAAACGTACAAGGTCTGACCTATATAGGAATGTTGATGCAGACTATTATGGGTACAGAGACGAAGAAGATGGGTTGCTACTCGAATATGAACAAGAACAAGAGTATAAAAGTATTTATTATATTATTATATGTGTCAAAATTTTGACTAATTAGAAATTAACCGTGTTTATTTACATTTCTGGGATTTAGTTATAACAAAAGCATCAGAATTGCCCGATCAAACGTTGCCTGAAGATAAATCAACGCAAAAGAAAAAAGAAGGTACTTCACAATTAGAGAGCAGCGCAATGGATATTGATCAACTATCGGAAAAGTTTGTTGCACATGTAGCTGTGCCCTCCCAAAAAGAAGTGGAAGAATATCTAGTGCGAAGAAGAAAGCGCCAAATCCTTGATCGTTACGTGTCTGATCAGTGTTGACTGGAAATTGGACTCGCTAGAACATTTGATCTCGGATAACCCGATTAACCATCTGGTAATGTGACTTGTAAACGGTGAGTAATTCAGAAATAAATCAATTAAATGACGTTAAGTCCGCAGAGTAATTTTTAACCAAGTAATTTAACTGAAACAATGATAGACTCTCGGATAGCTGGGTTACCCGATCTATTACTTAAATAGGGTGCGCTTATGCGAAATTCTCGGTGCACAATAATAATAGTACGATGTAATGAGAAAAAAGAAATAAAATCCAAACATATAAATGATAAATATGGTAAGTTAAAGTAATATCGACACGCTTCGCTAATAATTGATTCCCAGAGATGTGAATAGACATTGTCTAATCAAAAAAAAAAAAAAATTAGACTAATAAATTATTAAATAATTAAACAATGTAATATTAATATAATTTGGTTAATTGTCTATTGATTAATTTGACGAATTATTGTATAGTTAAAATTATATAACTACTGTATTTTTATTTAATTTATAATATTATTAATAGGATTAATATATGGAGTGTTCCCTTTTAAAAGGGTCCATTTTTACATTTTTCGAAAAATGAGTTTTTATTAGATTCATATAAATTTTGACATGATCGACATTTTTCAATTATAA